CTTCAAGGCCACGCGCTGGTGCCAGCGCTGGGGCGTGACGCGGACGTAGCGGGCGACGATCGGGGGGATGAAGGCGTTGGAGACCTCCCCGTGGCTGTCGGCGTTGCCTTCAAAGACCTACCGGGGAGGGTGAAGAGGGTGCCAGGGGCCGAATGTCCGTGGGCAGGGGGAGCTGTGACCCCCCCACTGTGGGGTGTGTGTGTCCGTCCCACCCCAAGCCCACCTTGTCCTCCTGGCCACCGCTGCCTCTGTAGGGTCTCCAGTTCTTCCCGTCGCGGCTGGAGGAGACCCGGTAGGAGGTCACATAGTAGTCGTACTGCTCAGAGGAGCCCTTGGTGATGATGCCTGTTGGTGCAGGAGCGAGCCCGGGGCCGGGGGAAGGGCTTGGGGGGGCCACCCTGTACCCCAACATGCCCCATTGCGTGGCGCAGAGCTTTCCCAGCCGGAATAACCCCTGGCTCTGGGATACCCACCGCCCTGTGGGGAAGGGAACCCCAGGGGGTTCCCTCCAGCCCTGGGCGGGGTTTGGGTGGCAGATTGGGGTGTCGGACCCCCGCACCGCTCTGCCCCCAGAAGCTGATAACCCCCGAGCTCGGCTGCTGGCCCCGCATTCCTCCCGCCCCCAGCCTCCGGCCGGACAATGTCCCCATTTTCCTCGCCGCGGTCGCCAGCCGCTGCCGCACAAAGCCTCCGCTTTCGGCGGGCTCCGGCCGAACAAAAGGCGCTCGCTGGCACCAGATGCAAGAGCATAATATTAACTTGTTCGTCCCAGAAATGGCTGCTGGGGGGGGCACAGATGGGGAAAAAACAGGGACAGGGGACAGCTGGGGGCTGGGGGAGTTGGTGCTGTCAGCATCCCAGTTTGCACCAGTAAAACCACAGCACAAGGAGTCCAGTGCTGTCTGGAGTTATGGAGGGGGGGTCAGCGAGGCTGGCAGCCATGTCACCGTGGGGAGGAAAGTGGTCAGGGTGGCCCATGGACCAGCCAGTGTGTCCCCCCCTCCCTGCCGATGGCCGACACTCACCTGTGACGTTCCGGCGGGTGCCCAGGTCCAGCTCGAGCCAGGCAGCCTCGGAGCCGGGTTCGGGTGCCCAGGAGTGGCCGGCGGTGCCGAGTGCTGCCCGTTGGGCCACCCAGGCTCGGTCCTGGCCCAGTGCATCCACCTCGTGCCACCAGGATGAGGCGTTGAAGGCGGCCACCTCCAGCGCATCGCCGCAGGCTGGCAACGGGGAGACGGCAGGATGGGAGCCTAGGACCCCCAACTGGGCACGGTGGGGTGGCACCAAGTTTGGCAACCAAAATCGTGGATTAATTTCAGGGAAAATGGGGAAAAAATACCTTTGTGGAATATGAGCCGCTTCTCAGAGAGGGATCCCCTGCAGGGAGGAAAGATGGGGGGGTGTCAGACAGGGGGGTCCCCAGGCAAACAAACTGGGGGGCTCTGAAATTGAGGGGTGGCATGTCCCCGAGGTGGGTTCCATGGCTGGGTGTGGGGTGCAGCCGGGGCGCCCCCAACCTCTCACCCACCTTTTGGAGTGGAGCCCGTTGGCGAAGGCCGACTCATAGAGCGTGATCCCCTTCTGGCGGGACAGGGTGACCTGCCCCCCCAGATCATCCGCGATCACCCCAGCGTGCACGGCCGCCTTGCACAGCACCGAGGTCTGTGGGGAGCAGGGGAGGGGTGAGGGCAGCACCCCCCCACCTCCCATGGGGCACCCCATGGCCATACCCCCCCCCTGCAGGCTGCTGGGGGGTGACAAGCAGCAGCCATGGACGCAGGGGCCCGTCCCTGGCGGGTGCACCCATGGGTGCTGACCCACACAGGGGGGTGCCCCGCGGGATGAGCCGGGCTCTGCACTTACATCCCGGTAGCCCTGGCTGGGGTTGCCCCAGATGTCCCCGTCGATGTCCTTGCAGCCCGCGGGACAGTACACGCTGAAACACACGAGGCGAGGAGGGTGGGGGTCCAGGCTCGCTCCTGTCCCCACCCGCTTTGCTCCCCTCGCTGCAGTTGCACCCCAAAAGCCCCAGGGTGAGCCCCGAGCACCCAGGGGAGGGAGGGGGATGAAACGGGCTGATGGGGACACAGAGGGGGGACACACGCCAAAGCGGGGACCGCTGGTACCTCCGGCCCACTCACCTGACGTGCTCCTGGGTGTAGTGGGTGCCCCGAACCAGGCAGGAGACCAGGTCTGCAAGGCAGGGACACCCCAGGGTGAGGGACCCCCACCTGCCCCCCAGCACCCGCCTCTGCCCCAGGGAGGCAGGGAGGGGTGACCCCTCGGTCCCTGCAGCCATGGCCACGCCACCACCTGGGGTCCCCGCTGACCTGGGGGTTCAGGGTGCTGGGAGGTGGGGGGGTGGAGTTGTCCCCCATATTTTGCTGCCAGCTGGGGGGGTCTTTAGGGAACCCACGCTGGGGGGAGCTCCCTCCACCCCTGGCTGTCCCCCCCCGCCCCCAGGACACAGCCTGGGGTAGGGGGTGTCTCTACCTCCCTGGGGGACGCTCCCCCCTACCTGGGTGCTGCGAGGTGGCATAGGACAGGAGGAGGCCTCGTCCCGAGCGGTGGCTGGTGCTGTTGAACAGGACGGTCACGGCGCTGGAGTTTGTCACCAGGAGCGGGGCGGCGGGGCCGGCGTTCCTGCAGTAGGGCCCTGGCACAGGGACGGGGCCGGGAGAGGATTGGGGCTCCCTGGAGACAGGGGTGGGCACCCGGACCCCGGGGTGTCCCCTCCCCTGGCTCAGGCAGTTGGGCTGTGCTTAGGGTGGTCCCACCCCCAGGGTGACCCCATGCCCAGAGCGTGACATCCACACTATGGGGGGGACTGGGGCACAGCACCCCACACCTCAACCTGTCCCCACTGTCCCCCCCGTAGCTATAAGTAGCACCAGGGGGCACACAGCCCCCAGGCAGGGGGGTTAGAGCCGGACCAGGCTCCCGGAGGGTCCCCAAAATGTTCCCACCTCCCCCAGCGGGGACAGACGGGCTCCCTCCCTTCCCAGAGACGCTTCCCCTGGGGACTCTTCCTGGTGCGAGTGGCCACCAGCCCCTACTGGGCACTTGCCACCACGGCCCTCACTGCCGAGGCTGGCACACACAGCACAGCCTCGCGGGACCCCAAAATGGGGGCTGCAGCCCTGTCCCCTCCCCATCTGCCTGTGACGGCCAAAGCTGCCTCCTAAATCCCCCGTTTAATCCAAATTAATTTGTGGTCTCCATCTCCCTGATTAAAACTTCAGCTTAGCAGGCAGGCGGCTTCCTTGGGGACATCTCTGGTCCCAACTGGGGACAAGAGGTAGTCCGAATCCCCAGGCTGCCACCCCCCTCCATCTCTCTGCTCTATCCTGTCCATCACCGGGGCCTCGCAGCGCCCACAGATGCTTTGAGCAAATGCCATTGGTGCCCTGGGGACAGGGAGCTGTGTCCTTCTGTCCCCATGGGTCCACCGTGGGGTCATGCCGTGCCTCAGTTTCCCCACACCCTTGCCCTGCCCGGGTTGTATTTAATGGAGAGGTCGAGCCCAGGGGACACGTGTGTGTGCAGGGATGTCACAGGTGTGACGGAATGGGGGCTCTGTGTGATATGCAAATGACATGCAGATGAGATGCAGATCACACACACACACAGATTTCCCACCAGATGCCAGCGCTGCCCTGGGCAGATGCTGTCGCGGTGCTGGCACGGTGCCCACCTGGCCAGCGGCTCCAGAGACCCCCTGGGTGCCGTGGACCCCTCGGCCAAGCCGCGGGCTGGAGGCCACCACCCCTACGGGGACCCCGGCACGTCCCCGGGCAGGACCAGGCCGGGCGCCAGACACCGGCTCTGAGTCAGCGGGAGGGAGCCCGCAGCCTCCGCCTGCTCCGGCCGCTTCCCGAAAAACATCTGGGATTCCTCAAGGGCTGGCGTCAGCCACGGGCGAGGGAGCGGGACCCCAGCCCAGCCCCATGTCACCCCCCCACCCGCCGGCACACATGGCCCTGCTGAAGGCACCCAAAGGGGCTGCGGGTGCCCGGCCTCCCCGCCAGCCCCCCGGGAGTATCATCTGGGGGTCCCCGTTTGCCTGCGTTGCTCCAGGACCCCTTAGCCTGGGCCAGGTTTTGTGGTCCCAGGAGATGGGGACAAACGTGGCCCTGAGGCCACAGCAGAGGGGACTGGGGTCCCCAAGTGTGACTGTCACCCCTCTGGGTACCAGCCCGGAAAGGGTGAAAGCCCTGGAGAACAGGGAAAAATCCCGGAGCCGTGGCGGATCCCAGCTGGCTTCTTTCCACCCCGCGTTTCCCACAGTGTCCCCTGCCCCTCACCCGGCCTCAGGGCTGCTCCTCCATTCCACCCCACTGACACTCCAACAGTGACACCTCCCCCCCCCCCCC